CAAGGAGAAGATCAGTTGCGAATGTAGATTCCGGTGGTGTTGCGAGGTCACTTGCAACACTTGTCTGGTCAAGAAAACCATCAACACGTGCCGTTAAATCGAATCGAATTTTCTCTACTTATTATATAATAATAATTACATAGACACTTGTAATATACGCGTCGCGCTGTCGAATGTAGTTTGGATGCTCGATTAGTAAAACGCGTTCGATCGTTTGAAACACGTTTCGTTTCGTTTCGTTTCGTTTCGTTTCGTTTCGTTTCGTTTCGTTCCAAGCTTTCCAAGTATCTCTTAATTTCTTCGTTTCGAGCGTTTCGCGCTTTACTCGCTCGCGGCAAGCGAAACGATCGTCGCTTTTCTCGCTTGTTGCGTCGACCTTTTGTCGTCGCACCGCCTCTTTATCATCTCTCCGTCCCTTATCTCTCAATTTCTCACCCACTTCCTCCCCCTCCCCATCTTGCGCTTGCGTTCTCCGCGTTTTCTGTAAATAAGACTGAATGGACGAAAGTTTATATTGTGCAGCGTGAAATGCGAATAAAAAAAACGTGTATCCCCGGCCGAATTCTCGTTAGTTACTCTCCCACAACCGTGCACCACAATCGCACGATCTTCGAATAATCGATCGTTCGATCGTTTCAATCGTCGTGGATCGTTGCTTCTTCTTGGAGAGGAGAAGCGCAACGAGGGATCAAAGGGGATCGAAGCTTTTTCTCTTTTCTTTCTTTCTTTCTTTCTTTTTTTCTTCAAGGTAAGTCGAGCGTCTCCAGCAATCCGTACGAGAGAACTAGAAACAAAAGGAATCGTGATATAGAAAAAGTTGGAGCGCGTGATCGGAGGATGTGAAACGGTGGACGGCAAAGGCGGAGAGGAAATCGGCGAGACGTTAGGAGGCCTCGTATATTATCGCGTCGTGTAGAACACAGGCTTTTAGCTGTAATTCGACCTTGTACACGGGAGAGGTCGTGCAAGCAATAAACAACCGGTGTCTACATCTCCTATAAAATAGTTTTACGACCACACGGGAAAGAGTGGAATTTCGCATAACCATAAAGCCGAGGAAGAAGGCTCGCGCCGTATCGCGACACGCTCGCCACGTTTCGGCGATAGCGGAAGCCATAAACCTCGTGAGAAGAAATCTTTTTTCCACTTTGACAACAACTCTCGCCCCATCCTTTGATGGATCGTGTCCGTTCGTGGAACGTGAAAATTAACGCGTCCGTCTTATTGTACGAGAGTAGGATTCGATACGATTCGACTCTACGCTCGTTCGTTGCTCGATCCCTGTTCTCCGATTCAGCTACGATGATTTGGTTAGGAGGCTATCAAGTTGTAAAACGTTGACGCGTACACGCAAATTTCTCGATTCTGTTCACGAAACGAAGGAGGGAGAGGGGAAGTAGATGGGGAGGGAACAGAATGGCCGCAATAAAAAAAAAGTATCTATCGATGGATAAAAAGATCCATCGGCGAAGGACAAACGTTTATATTATTCGTATCGTATTCGAACGTCCGAGTTGTTCTTCAGCTTCTTCGAGCAATCGACGACTCGATTTAGGGTTTCGAGTTGACAAAATTGACACGATACGATTTTACGATTTCTCGAAAAGGAAAGGGTGGAAGGAAGAGCGTGGATGATCGCAAACGAGGCGAAGGATAAACGTAGGGGTGGATGGAGGCAGATACTGGTGAGGATCCTCGAGGGTCCTCGAGGAGAAAACTCGTTGGCAGGGGTTAAGTAAAAAATTTAGGATCGCGCTTACACCCTTCAATTTAATACGTGACGCGGCAGAGAGGAGAGCACGTCGGAGAGGATATATACGTGCGTGCGTGCGTGCGTGCGCGCGCGAGAGGAGAGCGCGTAAAGGTCTCTTAATAGAGAGGTCGACCTCTGGAGGGTAGGAAGGTGGTGAGCTGCAATTAGCCCCACCATCCCGCACCGGCCGGCCCGTCTCGNCTCGATTAGCCCATAGCCGAGAGATTGGTCTGCTTTGAGCCGACTGGGTGGTCCAACCGGGGTAATTTTCAGCTGCCGTCCACGTTCCCCTTTGAGGGAAAAATGGCCCCCTTCGAAATTGGTCGTGGAGTTACCGACCGCGTATCAACCGAACCTCGTATCCCCGGACTTTAAATTCTCTTCGTTTCTCCGAGACGCGCCACAACATTTTTGCTCCTCCCGTTCCTCGCGGGATCTTCCGGTGGTAATTCAATTTCGCTCGACATCCGCCGATCCGTGGCGGTTATTACGGCTTAATGAATACATCGCCGTCGAGGAGATG